GGAAGCTTCGAGGCCCAACGGTTGCAATGTTGGAATGGCCGAAGTCCTGCACCACCTTTCGTGAATGGTTCGGGATCTGCTCAGTAGAAAGTTTAACAAAATTGACCAGGGAGGGGCGATGCAGGATTTCGTCGGTGAACCGACTACATTGTTGAGCGGTTGATAATCATCACAAACCTGAAAACACACGCGTTGTTGCCACAACATGAAGATAGCTTGACATGGTGCCGCCAGATGACGCCTTCTCTGTCTGCAAACCGTTTTGTCAGCTTTGAAAGCTCCATTGAAAACTATCAGGACTACCAACATGGTGTTAGCACCCGCATGTTCAGCTTCTCTCTTGGGTCGCAGTTAAACATGGTCAAATGGTTCAGTTCCTGTACATGACTTTGCAGATTTTAATGCATTGGTTGATGAGCGTTCAATGTAGTGTTTAATGTAGTTTTGGCTGACAAAGCGGTTTGCTGATAGAACTAACGTGACAAATCATTCTGTCCAGTACTTTTTTGGGTCCATCCATGGCTTTTTGAAAGGACCCTTTTCCACGCCATCTGTGCGCCGGATGGGGGATTGTGGTTGCTTGCGTCAACCACTCTGTCAAGGGCGCTTGGGTTGGACTGTCTGCTGGTGTTGTCGTGCACAACTCCCGCCACTCGCGCAGTGGGCATTTGCGTGGCCATCTCTCCCACGTCAAAAAAGGCATTTGGAGGGCGGCGGGGAAGTAAATTTTGGAACCAATCTATTCTGTTTGTTGGGCCTTACCAATCCAAGCGTCGTTTGTGGGGAGACTGCCACCAAGGCCGATGATGTCAAGACTCTTCTGAGCTTCGCAGCTGGGGAAGGCCTGTAGACGCTGAAGCACCAAGCAGGAGTCTGGCGGTTTCATTTTGAGCTTCGTTTGCCATGGCTTCAAGGGTGGGATGTCGGGAATCGAAACGACCTGCCCCGACTCAAAGCAGTGGCATTCCGCAAGTTCTGTGGCTAATGTGTGCTGGATGCGGCCGGCCTCTCTTTGGTGTCATGGCCTTCGTGGTTGCTGGTTGATTTGATGGCTTGTTGCTCGGTTGGATTTTTTCATGTTTGTGCGGGCCCTGTTTCATGCGCGAAAGGCTTCGAGATCAATGCAGAGGTTGTCAGCGTGCTGAGCCCAGTGTGAAAGTGCAGCGATAGCAGAACACATCTTGTCCAAAAGTCTTCAGCATTATGCTGTGGAACGGAGAGTGTTCTAGAATCTGGCCCTCCTTTTGGATGGCCCTCAAGTCGAAGACACGAGGAAGCGAACCATTTAGGGTCTCCTGCTTTGGGAGACCCGTATGATGTTGGATCTATGCTTGAGTTCTAGGAATCTGGTACAATGAGAAGAAAGATGCGGGTCCACCATCGCTCATGCGGCAGGTTTCCATGCAGCAAGCCAAGCTGCCTGAATGCCAGTTTTTTGAAGGACATGAGCAGCGCTCAGTATCCATTCTGTATTACATGTAGTTTCGCTCATTTGCGTGAGGATCGTGTGCATCAACCTGCTACGTAGGACGCGCTGACTCAAGTAACTTTGCATTATGAGTCACAAAATAGTCTGCAGCTAGATTCTAGGCAACCAAAATGTTTTGGTTTCCTTTTTAAGTTGGTTCGAAACAAATATCAAGCATGCTGCTCGCACTGCCGGGAGCTTCAAAGAGCGGCCCAGTCCAAGGTTGAGCGAGCTGCAGCCAACATTGCTGGCCGCAGCCTTTGATGTTCTACAGACCAGCAGAGCTCGTTTTGACACATTCCAACCGTTTTGGGGCGTCATATGAAGAGTGGCTCTACATGGTTTCCAGTAAGCAGTGTCATGCATTGACCGGGTTACAATGTCTGAGAACCGCTCAAAACAATGGCAATGGCAAAAGCAGGTTCGATTTGTGCGGGTCCTTCATACCCTCATTCAACAATGTTGAGCTCGATTTGACTTATTACGGTGACTCCTAGATGCATGCGGGCCTCAGATGCATGGGATGCTATGCTGTGATAGGCATTTAGACTGTCCTTCATGCCGCTTCAGGCACCGAAGCATGACACCCTGGCAAGTACTGCAGGCCACGTGCGTTGATCTGATAATCAAGTGTCAAGCTCATCAAACTGCTTGTTGTCAAGAACTAAGTACATGTTCACCCCCCTGATCCACACTCATCCTGGGATGCAGTTAACACAGTGTCAAGTACAGTGTTTTCAGCAGTTTAAAGCAGATCAAGAACAGAACGGATTTCGTTCAGCAATTTCATCTCACATGTGCTAGCTGTTTCGTATCAGTTATGAGCCCATGGATGTAGAGCAGAAGAGAAGTCTGATTTGCGAATGGAAGGCGCTTGAAGTGCGAACCAAATCCAATTTGGTGCGTTGTTGTGTTTTGCCCTCTCAACTCTGTTGGCTTTTGAGACCCCTAAAGTGCTGGGAGGGTACCAAAAGGGCCAACAAATCAACCCCCTGCAGGCCCAAAGTGGTGAGGGTACCCAAGAAAATCCTGGGGTGTCGGTAGCCTGAAGCCCTCTGAAAGGTTAGTTTTGTTTCTTGTTGGTACCCTCTCAGCTCTCTAGGACTCTAGGCGCCTGAGGAGAAAAAGCGTCGAGAGGGTACCAAGAAATGACAAAACACCCTCTCAGTTTGGGTTTCAACTTGAATGCTCTTTAGAAGGAACTCTGCAAAGGAAAATAATCCAATGGAAGCAACAGCTTTGACGGGTGCACGGGTGCACGTGTGCCAGTGGGCATGCGCGCGCGTGTCTGAGAGAGGGAGAGGCGTGCAGCTGGTGGGTATGATCACCTTTTAGCGGTGATTGTATGTGATTGTTGTATCGCTGTGATGAGCTGCGGAGCTGTGAGCGGCGCTGCAAATTGCCCTCATTTTTTCCTGACAAAATTACACGTTCCGTGAAACCTTCCGCGTTCCCAAGCGTACCTTCCGCGAGCCTCGTCTGCTTCAAAATGATTTCTGACGCTTTGCACACACGCGTTGAGCTTTGACTTACTTTTGTTTCTGCGAGCGGGTCTGCAAGTGTGTCTGTGTGGTTCCAGTTTACAGCACAAATCAACCGGCCTGGGGGGGAGCTTTCAGAAAATCCCGCGTAGTGTTGGTGACTCCGAGGCTGCCTTTGCACAATGCTTCAATTTGCAGTGTTCTAATCTATTCTGAGCCTCGGCCTTTGCGCCGCGCGTGGACTCAACCTCACCCTCCACAATGGTAATCTCCGCATTAAATTTTTAAATGCTTCTGCTTTCCGGAGTTTTAGTATTAGTCAATGTGCACACGTGCACACACACACACACACACAGCTTGGAAGCTTGTTTGCCACTCAGGTAGTCAAGCTGTCAATTTCAAGATCCTTCCAGGGTTGAAAGTCAGACATCGGTAGTCAAGGTCCTCGTCTCTCGCGGACGCCTGGGCTGCGCCCCGAGGCAAGAGCGGAGAATGCTTGATTGGCTAGTTGAGCGGATGAGGGAAACCCAGTTTGATGTGTTTCTCAAGCATGTCAGAAGTACCGTTTCGGTCACTCAATATCAAACTCAGCTTGACCTTGTTTTGGAAACCTTCGAGCTTAGCCACAAGTTCTGGGCGGTTGCTGATGGGCGGCCTCATTTAATTTCTGAAA